TAGTTTCCTTAGCACACTAACTGTCAGGAATCTAAGAATGTGTCTCTGAATTTTAAACATCTCCATGAGGTTCCTTGCCAAAGAGGGGCTGACTGAACCCTGGGCCTGAAGAGAACTGGCAACAACTGCCACAGAAGCGACTGGAAGGCAGGTAAGACAAAGTCACAGAGCCTAGAAACCAGACTGTGGTGCTTTCTTGACCTAACACCTGTAGTTGCTCCTCTTAGCACCATACAGGACCTAGGATCACTGTTTCTCAGCTTTCAGGGTGATAGGCCTCTCCTAGACATAATATAACCATAGGTGATAACAAAAATGGATAGGTCAAAGTATGTGTCCCAATTCCAGACAAAAGGAAGCACCTCAGAGGAGAGCTCTGAGGCCAAGCTTGTCTCAGAAAGGAAGAGTTCTACAATCCATTACTGATGCCTGCTCCGAGCACAACAATCTCAAAAGGGGTTGGACAGGTATTCTTTTCCTCTTCAAGATTGCCAAAGAAGGTCTGATGGGATGACAGACTAAAAGCAAATAGTGTATCAAAGTCAAAGATGACCTACAAGACTCCCCACTGTTTGGGATGGAGAGGGGGTGTTGTCTTCAGATGTTTAGCTGGTTTGAACAAGTAAAGCAAACCAAGTAACTTGGGTGTGATGATGGCACTATGTCATCCATTAGCTGCAGCTGCTCCCCAGTCATGGTTGTGACTGTTGCTGTCAAATAGGGAGGTTGCCAGAGAAGTTGGGGCCTGAAGAGTTGGCTCAGCAGTTAGGAGCACTGACTGCTCTTCCAGAGGACTCAGGTTCGATTCCTAGCATCCACATGGTGGCTCATAAGCATCTGTAACTCCAATCCTAGGGGATCTGATACCCTCTTCTGGCCTCCATGGGTACTGCATACATATGACCACATACATACAAGCAGACACACACTCATACACATAAAATAAGATTAAGTAAATCTTTAAAAAGAGAGAAGTTGAAAAATCAGATTTCCACGCAATGTCTTCTGACTTTCAAGTTCCAGCTTGGGATGCACCACCAACCCCCAAATCCCTCCACAGGACCAGGAGAGACCCAGCCTGGAGACCATACCTGTGTTCCACTCGTGCCCACAGGTGGCCCAGGGGAGCTCGGTGGTGAAGCAATTGCTTAGGTAGAAGATGGCCCATGCCAGGATGATGATGTAATACACATTGAGATGTGCCTCGATCACCTGTGTTGCATAGCCAATGCCTGTGAGGACCAAGGAAAAAGAGTGGCTAGGGTCTCTGTCCTTTGAAACAGCCTTCATTGGCTCCTGAAAACTTGTCATCAATGAGGCAAAGTTTTCTTTGCTCATGAAACCAACACTTACCTTCAAATAGAGGGCAGACTTTCCTCCAGCACGTAATGCCTCCTTCACTTGTGAACTGCCCCAGAGCCGTTTCCAGGAAGAAGACAGGAATTCCACAGCAGATGAAGAACACCACGTAGGGAATCAGGAATGCCCCTGTGAGAGAGCAGAGGGATGGCATGGAAACTGGCCTGCTGGTTCCCCTTCGGCACCAATGCCCGTCAGTGGCCATTTACCACAGGACAACACACAGTGCTCCTTCAGCTGCACTTCCAACCTGGCTAGTGTGAGGGGCTGGAGCCAGAAAACATGGAAGGGGGTTGGGCCCTCTGCCACCTTTGACCTTACGCAATTCTACCTCACATCTCTGAACCTCCACTTCTCCAGCTATAAAATGGGCTTTAATAATATCTGCCGCTGACCATTTCTCAGGATGGTTGCATGGCTGAAATGGGAATGTTAAAAAATTGCTTTGTTTGATCAATTCTTTGTGTGATTTACTTTCTGTGACTGTGTGTATACAGAAGCCAGAGGTCATTGTCAAGTGCCTTCTTCTATAATTCTGACCCCATTTTTGATATAGGGTCTCCCATCCAGCTAGACTGGCTGGCCAGTGAGCTCCAGGTACTCTCCTGTCTCTACCTTCCCAGTCCTAGAATGACAGATGTGTGTTACCATGTCTGCATTTGTATATGGGTGTTGGGGATTCCAACCCAATCTTCATGCCTGAAGAGAAAGCACTTGACCGACCCAGCCAGGTCCCCAGCTCCCATCCCACCTGCTCCACTCTCCAGCACAGATTAAGCTCATTCTTAGCCTATGTGTTGTTCTCCTCTTAATTCTAATCTCAAGAGGATGGCTGAAGGAGACCACCCCTTATTATTTCATTATAGAGCCCCCTAAAAGATTTTTCTCATAAAGAAAAAAAAAAACATTCTCAGGAAATCATACAGTGAGAAGCACCAGGCTTCAAAGGGTTAAATGCCCCTGCATATATGACCCAGGTATGGAGGGGAGCCCTAAGGAATTTGTAGCAAGGATCCCACTGAAATGGTGTAGGGTTAGCCTGGGTAAGGACCACCCTAAACACAATATCCATGGCCTGGGCCTCGCTTCAAAATAAATGAAATGAATGAAGTGAGCCTGAGCTCCTAGGCACAGATGGGGACACCCCCCTAAATCCCCCATTTTCTTTCTCCCATCTAATAACGAAGCATGAAAACACAGTATTCTTCATCTGATGTCAAGAATGGAGGCTTTAGCTGAAATTGCTTTTGCTAAATGAAGCCTCTTTAACCACTGGATTAACAGCAACAACCTTGATTAATCCCGATACTGTGGACCTATCTACTGGGCTTTGAAAGGGGCTTAGCCTTTTCTGGGCAAGAGACTAATTTAAGATTTCACCCTGTGAACAAGATACTTTCAGTTACTGTGGGGAATCTGCGAGTCCTGCCTGTGGACAAATTATTTTGAAAGGAAACCACAGCCCAGCTAGATTGAAGGCAGGAACTTGTGTAACAGGGTAAATGGTATCTGAGGCCTGAATCCAAATCTATTTGATTAAAAAGCTGAAGTGGCTCCCTTAAGACCCCGTAATTCACCTGTGAGTCTCCGAAAACCCAACAGATGACACTGGGTGAAAGCCAGCTGGCCTGTGTACTCACAAAGCTAGTACTGTAATTCTTAAAATAACCAACAACCAAACCGGGGTGTCTGCACGGATGGAGGCTCTTGGCAAATCAAAGAGAGGAAAAAAGAGAGAGAGGAAAAAATCAACAATGAGTCATTTTTCAACTTTACTCACTACAACCTTAAAAACAATTTGTAGCAGAATTTGTGATTAGCCCAATTTATCTCCATTTTCTACTTTGCAGAATGCTTCTTGGTTAAGCCTAACATTTCCTAGATGAATAAAGATGCTACAATAGTTTCTGCCTCATATTACCCTAAAGGGCTCCCACAGCTTTCTAAGCTGACACAGTGGCTTCTAAAGGCTCAGTTTGCACGGGGAGGCAGGGCCTGCCTGAAGGTACAGGGTACATTTTGGGTCTCCAAGTCCGGGCCTGCTTTCTCGCCTTGCCAAGCCACAGGCACTATTGGCCACTTCATTACCAGTGCAGGGCAGGCCTGGAGCAGCCTGTGCCTTGGAGTAAATGACCCCAAAAAAGGGCCTGGACCAGGAAGTATGTTTCACGGGCTCCTAAACTGTTTGCACAGGAAGCCCTGCGCTGTCTGTGCCAACCAACTGCACTACCTTTTTAGAGTTTGGAGATTTTCTTGAAGATTGGGATACCACACAGAGGTGAGAAAATGCCAAGACAGGCCTTTCCTGAAAGGAACTGTGCCACCACTGAACGTTTTAATGGGATCCCTTGCTACTCTGCCACCCTACTGCTGCAATACTGGGGGACGGGGGGCTGCATCTGAGCCATGCTCTCAGCTGGGAGTGCTGGGGACCACAGCTTCCACTCTCCCCAGTGGCACTCTGAGATGCCTCCGCTGCTGGAAGGGGCTCTGGTCTCCTTCCCCAGTCTCTAAGCATCTTACACATACCAAGTCAGCGTGGTTGCCATTGTTGTGGGTGAGTCTGAGCCCAGCAAAAGAAACTGCTTAGTGCCAGTTTTTCCTCCAGAGAGGCCTAAAATACTTTCCCTAGAAATGGCCTGAAGAGCAAATTTAAAAAACCACAGAGAAGAGCACACAGCAAAGCCTTTCCGAAAGTTGTTCCTGGAGTCAGCTCAACCCTGCATGAAAAACGAGACCTTTGGGGTCAGAATCCCACCCTTGCCAGTAGTAAAACAGAGTGTTTCTTGGACCCTTAGCCTCATCGTCTTTGAGATCAGTAAAAGCACTGCCTTCCAAGGCGACTGTGAGGCCAAAGGGAGGGAAAAAAAAGTATGAAGACACAGCTAAAGCTGGGCCCCTGCTCCTGGCACTTCAGTGACCTCTCCAAAAGACTGCTCAGATCAGTCTTTTCCAGTGAGGACAGCTGAGCCTCCGAGGCTAAATTAAAGGACTTCTGCCTAAAACGCCAGCCAGTTGCCTGAAAGCTGAGCTCCTGGGCCATGTCGGTCCCTCACGCAGGTGACAGACGCTGCTCTGGGCCCCGTGGCAGGTGGCAGGTGGTGGCGCGCTCAGGTGCGAAGCGGATCCGTGCACGCAGGCGCAGAGGAACAGGTGGGCCCCCGCGCAGCCCCTCAGCTCACGGGGACTGGGAAGGGGGGATCGGGCCGTGCATGAGGGATGTCCCCTCCTAGGTGTCGCCCCGCATCCCCCGCCGCGCTCACCTCCACCGTTCTTGTAGCACAGGTAGGGGAAGCGCCACACGTTGCCTAGCCCGATGATCTCGCCCGCTACGCTCAGCACGAACTCCACCTTGTTGTTCCAGTGGCCGCGCTCGTGGACCGCCTTGTCGCGCGCCTCGCGCGTCGCCGCCGCGCCCCCGCCGCCGCCGCCCAGCGCCTCGGACCCCCGCGCCTCCTCTGCCGCCTTCCCGTTGCCCAGGGGCAGCGCCTGCTCCGCAGTCATGGCCGCCCTGCCGCCTCGTGCGCCGGCCCCGGCTCTGCGCCGCCGCCCCGGGCGCCCGGGCTTTTGAGAGGCTCGAGCGGCGGCGGGCGGGGGAGCCGGGGGTGGAGCCGAGGGAGCAGACCGGCCGCCCGGGACAGGGACGCGGTACCCAGGCCACCTCCTGGCCTGCCTGAATCTCGGGGTGGGAGGGATGCTGCAAGTCTGGTGACTTGACCTTGCGTGCCCAGCACCTAGACCTTGCGCGCCCAGTACTTTGCATGCACTCAACCCCTGACCTTGCACGAACCTGGCTTATCAGAGCACAGGTTTGCCCTGCAACCTCACTCACTGGCCTCTATCAGTGGAGTCCTCTAGCTAAGCCTAAGTGGCCTGTGAATATGATACTTGAAGTTCTGCCCCCTCTCTGTGACCTTTCAAAGCTTGAGCCTCAGTTTTCCCATCTCTGCTCAGAGGTGGATGGGCAGCGCTAACTTTTGAAGGGCCAACATCTGTGTTGGTCAGGTTCCATTGCAGGGGCCTAGTTGGGGCAGGGACAGTTCATGAGATGGGAAGTACTTTGTAAGCTCCCAGATGATGTTGATGGCGCTGGGTCTTAAGGCCCACCCTCCACTCGGCCCCTACCCTGGAGGTCTCATTCCACCCATGGCCCCTGCTCTACACACAGGTGAGTCACAAAGGTGTGGCGTTGAGTAGTGACATCCAGGGACAGGAGCAGGCAAATCTAAGTTGAATGTCTTGCTTCACCGATACGAGTCATGCAACTTTGGTCAGTCTCCTAACTGCCTATTCCTGTTTCCTGGTCTGCAAATGGTGTTTCCAACAATGCCTTCTGAGGTTTGTTTGTTTGTTTGTTTGTTGTGGTTTGTTTGTTTGTTGTTTGTTTTGGTGAAAAGTTAATGACATGATGCTGATAAAGTACTCCTACAGTAGAAATTGTCAATAATCATTAGCGGTTATTGTCACTATGCAGTATCTAGATGTGTACATCCTGTTCAACGTGTCCCTCCAATCGGTTGCACAAACAGTAGTAGACACTATCCTGTGTCAATAGCAGAGAACTTAGCATGACATGCTACACAACATGTGCTTAGAATATTTGCAGATAGAAGGTAGGGGTGTAGTAGAACGGTACTTGCTAAGCAGGTGTGGAGCTCTGAAATTCACGCCAGGACCAAGCAGAAGGGGGAGGGTGGATAGAAGTGGAGGTGCTTTGGTTCGGGTGACATTGGTAGGTTGACAGCCTGGTCCCCTGCCTGTGGTGCTGTTGACTGTCAGTGGAACCTTTAAGAGGGGGCCTTCCAGGAGGGTCTCCAGGTTATTGAGAGCGTGTGCTTGCTGGCAATGTGAGAGCCCACCATTCTCAGGTTCATCTCTCCTGTCATCCTGAGGTGAGCCTCCTGCTGCCCCTTCACTGCCCCTGTGACACATTGCTGCAGCCTGACTCCAAAGTACAGGAGCCTCTAGAAGCCCAGTGCCTGATCCCGTTGTAAGCTGGTTCTCTGAGCTATTTGTTACAGTCCTGAAAAGCTGTCTGACAGGGGAAGAAGAGGCTGTTGTGACCGGGCCTGTGGATTTAGGCAGGTCCATGCTTCTTGCACACCCTCAGAGCAGATTCCCTGTGTCGTCCTAGGTCCCTCCAGTCCCAGGGCTCCTGAGTTCCCTGCCTTGTGGCCCTCAGGCTCAACCTAGATCCCCTCCTTCCTGGTTTACAGCATTTCTTGAAAGAATAAATGGAGTACTAGGGTTATCCTCTGAGGACCAGGCTGCAAATCCCCAGTCTTGCTCATACTGGTTCGTAGGCTCCTCCATCCACAGTCTGACTGAATTCTAGTGGCTTTGTATACCTCCCTCCCTCCCTGAAGTTCCCACTCACCTGGTCTTTGCTGCCCATTCCTCACCCCCCCCCCCGCCACCCCCCCCACCCACCCCCACCCACCCCCCGCCCTGCAGCCCTGGTTGTCTGTTCTGATCTGCTCTTTCCCAGGCCTTGAACTAGAACCACCCAACTAAATGCTGGTGGTTGCCATACCCTCTGTCAGGTGTTAGAAAGCTGAGATCCTGCAGGGTGCTCAGGGGAAGGTCTGACTGCACACCCATCTCTGCTATCTGTGTTCTGTCAGCTGGATGGTCGTCTGGGAAGAGGGAGCTTCAGCTGAGAAGATGCCACCATCAGAATGCACTGTGGACAAGCCTATGGTACATTTTCTTCACTGATAGATGTGGGAAGGCCTGAACCACTGTTGGGCAGTGTCACACCTGGGCTGGTGGTCTTTGGTATCCAAGGCCAAACCATCTCCTGAATTAAGCTCAGACCCTCCTTGCTTATACAGCCTTAGTGATATTTATACTAACATAGACTCCTAACATTTACCTAACCACCTCTAGGAATGTAGTTTGAGCACATAAATTCCCTTTTTCTGATATATTAACCCATTTTAGCTCTTAGTTGACCTCCTCCTTTACCTCTCCCCCTTTGGGTTGTAAAAGAAAGCCTGACAGTCACTGCCTGAGGAAAACTCTTGTCTGCCTTTATGACCCTGTAAGAATTTAAGTCCGGTGTCCTTGCTTTAGCTAGAGCACTACTATTGCATGGATATGTAACTGTAAACCTCAGACACTTAGAGAGGATTTTGACTAGAGAGAACTAGATGGAGAGCGAGAAAAACGAGATGGAAGATGAGGAAGAGCCAGATGGGGAAGAACGAGATGAGAAAGACCAAGAACTAAGATAAGAGAATTAAGATAGAACTTAGAGGGAACAAGAGATAAATGTAGAGAGAAGTCAGGCACGAAAGGAGCTAGGCATGAGGACAGAGCTGAAGCTGTGTAGATAGGATTTTATGCCAGAGGAATAAAGTAGACGGACTAAGAGCTCGGTGTACTTAGATTCTTTTCCCCAAAAATCCTTCCCGCCGTTCATAGCTTCTCTTCTGGGCCCCTGGAAAGAAGATTATTAAGGCTGGACCATAATAATTTTGCAGAGTCTCTCTGCAGTGACCACTGAAATTACACCACAGGATGACCCTGAGCCCCTTAGGACCGGTCATATCTGACCCCAGGTTTTAGTTGGCAAAATGCCGTGTTTCCTCTTGTCAAATTTGTTCATGTACTTCCTGATGATGACATGTCCTGTGGGCCCAGATATGCGGTGCCTTGTAGCTGTGCCCTGTTCAATGTCTGAAGCCACAGACAGTTCTGAGCCCTACATCTAGTTTGTTTTTTTTATACCATAAATAAAATTTAATTTATAAAGTAGGCCCTGGAAGAAATGAACAATAATAAAATAATGAAATCAGAGTTACAACTGCAAGAAAAACTATTTAAAACTTAGAATTTATAAGCCAGCCATGGTGGTGCACTCCTTTAATCCCAGCCCTCAGGAGGTAGGTGGATCTCTGAAGTTCAAGGCCAGCCTGGTCTACAAAGTGAACCCCGTCTCGATAAATAAGTAGATAAAATTTAGAACTTATTTCCGAAATTTTCCATTTAATATTATCAGACTATGGTTGACTGTAGATAACTGGAACAATGGAAAGCAATTGGACCAATAACGGGGACCCTGTGTATCCAGGTGCTCAAATATTTCTTAGAGAGCAGTGAGAACCAAGAATGGACTGACTGTTGAGTGCTATGCAGCAACAAAGTATCACCAAGAATGGACTGACTGTTCAGTGCGATGCAGCAACAAAGTATCACCAAGAATGGACTGACTGTTAAGTGCGATGCAGCAACAAAGTATCACTCCCAGGTTCGCAGGTTCCCAGTAGGAGGCAGTAAATTCAGATGTGAACCTTTTGTTAGGCTATCCTGCAGCACATTACAAGGGAATTGGGGGTGTAAGTACAGGTGGACAAGCATTTCATCAATGTCGCCCTTCAGGGGAAGCTCTTCCCATGAGGAAGGGAAGATCTTTGGTGGCCATAGCGCTCCCTCTAGGAATTTTAGTGGTGTTGATGACTACCCCTGTGACCCAGACTTCAGTCCCTACCCCTGTAGTCATCCTCCAATGCAGCTCTCTCTTGTCTCAGCTTCCTTACCTCCACATAAAGTACAGCCAGGGGCTGAATCAAGCCCATGTCAAGTGCAGAGTCTGGGAAAGGGCCCTCTGAAGCAGTGTAGCCGGTCTCTTCGGAGCCCTGGTTTTGCAGCTAGCTGCCTAAGGTTGAAAACGCTTAGAATCCTCTGCCCGTGGGGAGCTTATTCCTGGAGGCTAGCTGCTTTGGCAGCAGGAAAAACGTTAACACTCTCTGGAGGTTATTAGATTGATTGATTGCTGATTGAGTGTCTTACACATTTGTCCTAACTAGCTCCTTGAATATTTTTTTTAATTTCATGTACCAACTGTAGTCATATCCAGTATTTTCTGCATGTATTTTATATCAGCTCTATTGATATTTATTTCACAGACTTTGCAGCCCACCCATTGAAAGTGGACAAGATAGATGGCCAACCATGAGCATAAGCAGCTCCCAAACACTCCAGAGTCTGTTACCTCCCAGAGGATAAAGAATGCTGTTCCTTTGGGCCGTCACTCCTGACACCTCCCTCCAGCCCAGGACTCCTCTATCTTCTGCCTTTGTGGTTTCATGTATTCTGAGCATTTGCTTGACTAGAGTGGTGGTGCACACAGCCTCTCCCACCCAACTCTTTCCAGTGGCCTCAGCATCAGCTCCTGCCTCCAGGTTTCTTCCCTGTTTGAGTTCACAGCCTGACTTCCTTTGATGATGAACTGTGATGTGGAAGCCTAAGCCAAATAAATCCTTTTCTCCCCAGCTTGCTTTTGGTCATGGTGTTTCATCACAGCAGGAGTAGCCCTAAGTCAGTCAGTCTGTCTCTGTCTCTGTCTCTGTCTCTGTCTCTGTCTCTCTCTCTCTCTCTCTCTCTCTCTCTCTCTATCTCTATCTCTATCTCTATCTCTATCTCTATCTCTATCTCAAATCCAAACCACTCCTGGCAGCAGGCATTGCAGACTGTGTCGAGGTAGCACCTGTCTGTGTGCTGCATGCTCTGATTGACATTTCCTGTGTTTTGGAAAACAGCAATCTAATCCAGGGGTGGCACACAAATGGTGCTTAATAAATGTCAAGCTGTCATTTTTACTTGTGACAAACTCGTAAAAGCATGAGCTTGTCTTTGATGGCCCTGTCTTTGGAGAAAATCAGGCACAAGCAGAGATCAGAAGACCCTTCTTAAAAAGAGGGGTGCAGCTAGGTGCAGTGCAGGGGAGCAGAAGCCCTTCTTAAAGAGAGGGGTGCAGCTGGGTGCAGTGCAGGGGTAGCAGAAGGCTCCGGATTCCATCCCCAGCAGTTGGGGGTGAAGAAGGAGTTTCCAGCTGGTTAGAAACAGACATCTGTACTGATTGTTCTTTGTCAAGCTGACACAAACCTAACGGGGAAGAAGGAATCTTAATTGAGAAAACGCCTCGTAAGGTTGGCCTGTAGGCATCTATAGGGCATTTTCTTGATTAATGACTGGTGTGGGAGGGTCCAGCCCACTGTGGGTGATGTTATCCCTGGGCACGTGATCCTGAGTTGTGTAAGAAAGCAGGCTGAGCAAGCCATGAGTGGCAAGTCAGTAAGCACCACTTCTCCATGGCCTCCAGGTGCCTGATTGAATTCCTGCCCTGATTTCCCTGAATGACTGACTGCAACGGTAAGCTGAAATGCACCTTTTCCTCTCAAGTCCCTGATGTCATGGTGTTTGATAACGGCAATAGAAACCCTAAGACAGCATCTTAGAGAAATGAAAGCTAGAAAATTCACCAAGTGAGATTAAATAGAAAATCTGAGGTCAGCGCTTAGTGGCAGATGTTGAGCCTGGGCCTAAGTCTTCCTTTCATTTTCATGTGTAATGTCCCCAGGCTTATCCGAGGCTGTGACGCCCAGGCTGCCCTTTCCTGCTGTCCCTCCCAGCCCCAGCTCTTGCTCTGGCAGCTCACACACTGAGAGGACAGCACAAGAAAGGACTCATGACCTCACAGCTCACATCAGAACTCAGAGAGGCACAGAAACCTCTGTGTCCACTGTCTCCTAGATGATACAGGAACTCAGGTCCCTTCACCCCTCCCGTCTTCTTACTGAGAACTCTTCTCAGCTCCTCTTCATGTCACCTCTTTGCACAGGTTCCCACAAACTCTCCCTCAGTAGACAGATTGCCTACTCGAAATGGGGGTCACACCACCACCACTAGTAGCAAAGAGCTTGTTAGAGATGCAGAATCTGAGGCCCCATCCTGGGCTTGCAGGAAGGACCTGCATCTTGAGATACTCAGGTATTTCAAGCACCTGCTAACATTTCTGAAAACCAGTGATTACTGTGGGTATATTCATCCAAAACCCCAATGTGAACAACTGCTCTTTCCCAGGGCTGCTGAGTGCTGAGCATATAGAATTGAACCCCCACCCCCCCACGCACAGCTGCCACCAAGAAGTTTCTGTGTAGCCAAGGATACAGATGAGAAACCAAAGATTCCAGACCTTCCACTGACCTTGGGGTTTTCTTCTGATTGAGAAAGTAATTGCTTTATTGATTTTTCTAAAAATGAATTTCTTTGGGCTCCATGGTAGGCTGCCATGGGTGGCAGCATCTGATGAGTGGGCTGGTCCTTTCCCGTTTGCCATCTTCTCTGTCCTTTGGGAAGCCTCTTCTCCACTCACTTTAAAGCTTCTTTACTGGGGTATGACAGACAATCAATACATACTTACTTATATAACCTGATGAGTTTGGAGAAGAGTATACACCCATGAGTCCTCACCACAAACATGCCACCACTTGCCTGATGGTGATGGTGATGATGATTAGTGATGGTGAATGATAGTGGTACTGGTGATGGTGAATGATGACAGTGGCAGTGGCAATGAATGATAGTGGTAGTGGTGGTACTAATGACAATGATGGTAGTGGTTATAGTAGTAGTGGTTGTGGTGATAATGGAGAAAAGGATGGTGGTAGTAGTGATGAAGGTGGTGGTAGTGGTAATGATGGTGGTGATAATGATGGTAAGGATGGTGGTAGTGGTGATGATGATGGTGGTGACTAAAAACATTCAATGTAACATTTATCCTCAGCAGATTTCTGAGTCTCATGCTCAGCAGCAGTGCTGGCTGTGGGCTCTGTATTGTGCATCTCTAGAGTTTATTCATCTTGCGGAACTGAAACTTACCTTTGACTAACACCTTTCTCACTATTGTGACAAAATTCCTGACAGAAGCAGCATGAAGAAGGAAGGATTTATTTTGGTCATGGTTCTAGATGTTGAGTCCATCGTAGCAAGGAAGGCTTGGCGGGATGGCATGGAAGGGAAGGCATGGCAGGGGTACCCTCCCTGTAGGGTATCATGGAGGGAAAGGCACTATGGGACTGGTACAGTGGGGATGGCCCATTGGGAAGACATGGTAAGGATGGCCCATTGGGAAGACATGGTAAGGATGGCCCATTGGAAAGACATGGTGGGGATGGTCCATTGGGGAAGATATGGTGAGGATAGTCCATTGGGGAAGACATGGTGGGGATGGTCCATTGGAAGACATGGTGGGGATGGTCCATTGGGAAGACATGGTGGGGATGGTCCATTGGGAAGACATGGTGGGGATGGTCCATTGGGGAAGACATGGTGGGGATGGCCCATTGGGAAGACATGGTGAAGATGGCTCACTGAGGAAGACATGGTGGGGATGGTCCATTGGGGAAGACATGGTGGGGATGGTCCATTGGGAAGACATGGTGGGGATGGTCCATTGGGGAAGACATGGTGAGGATGGTCCATTGGGGAAGACATGGTGGGGATGGTCCATTGGGAAGACATGGTGGGGATGGTCCATTGGGAAGACATGGTGGGGATGGTCCATTGGGGAAGACATGGTGGGGATGGCCCATTGGGGAAGACATGGTGAGGATGGTCCATTGGGGAAGACATGGTGAGGATGGTCCATTGGGGAAGACATGGTGGGGATGGTCCATTGGGGAAGACATGGTGGGGATGGTCCATTGGGAAGACATGGTGGGGATGGTCCATTGGGGAAGACATGGTGGGGATGGTCCATTGGGGAAGACATGGTGGGGATGGTCCATTGGGAAGACATGGTGGGGATGGTCCATTGGGAAGACATGGTGGGGATGGCCCATATGGAAGACCCAGTAGGAATAGCATGGTAGGAATGTCCTGGTAGCTCTATGGTAACAGAAGGATAGGGTGGTTTCTCACTTGACAGTAAAAGGAAGCAGAGAGTTTGGATTAGAAGTGGGATCAGGCTGTGATCCTAATTGCCTCCCTGACCCATTTCACTAGTGATGCCTCCTGCCCCAAACGTTTTAGTCTTCCAAAGTGTGGCTAGCTGGGGACCAGGTGTTCATGCACGTGAGGTACAATCACATTCCAACTTGAGTAGCTGCTGTTTCTTCCTCTCCATCTGTGAGTATAACTACTTATAGGTTCCTAATGTGCATATCATTTCATATTCGCCCCATGCATCTGGTCTGTTTCATCTTACACAATATCCTCCAGGTTCATTCAAGTTGTCACAAATAGGAGGATTTTTTTTGAAGGTTGGGTGATATTCCATTTCATGAATATACTACATTTTTTTCCTTTATCCCTTTGTTCATTGATAGATAGTTGCTTTCTTCCTATGTCTCCACTGTCATAAATAAAACTGTGGCAGGAGTGTAGATAAATAATCAAGATCCTGGTTTCAGTTCCTTGGATCTGTAACCTGAAATGAGATTGCTGGATTGTATGGTAGTTGTAGTTGTAGTTTTTGAGACATCTTTGTATTGTTTTCCAGAGCAGCGATCCAGTTCACATGCCCATACACAGCACACATGGCTCCATTTCCATGTCCTTAACAACACACATCGCTCTTTGCTAATAATGGCCTTAACTGGGTTTGCTTTGTATGTCTCCAAAGATTAGTCATGGTGAGCTCTTTCGTGTCTGTTTGTTTATTTGGATAAATGTCTGTTCTGCTCCTCTGCTCACTTTTTAAAAAAAGCTAGGTTGGGTTAGTTTGATTTTGGACTGCTAAGTTGTAGGAGATTTTTGAGACAGGGTCTTTCTCTAGAGCCCTGGCTAGCCAGGAACTTGCTGTGTAGACCAGGCTGGCATCTGTCACCCAGCTCTTGGAATTCCAGGCTTGCACTACCTTGCATGGTTGAGTTCTCTGTATATCTGAAATAGAAACATTTTATTAGATGTGGATGCAGGGCCTGTAGTTGATTCTATACCATGGGTTGTTTTTCTGTTTTGCCAATGGTTTCCTTTGCTGTACTGTAGGGCTCTGGTGGATGCAAATCATCTCCCACATGTGGCCCTTTGTCCCAGAGTCTGGCTTGTGGGTCAGTCTGCCTTCCCCATTAGGCTGTACCCACCATGGGGCATAAACTGGACATACCTTTATCCACAATGTCCTGTCCTTCATTATTGCTTATTGTTCACACAGAGGAGAAAGTTCCTCTTGCATCCGTCCTTTCACAGGCCTTTACCAATGCATTACAAGATTCTAGAAGGATGGGAATGAGATAGGTGCTCTCATGGATCCTTAGTGAAGGCGCTGGCTTGGCATGGAGGGAGTGGCAACATGAGTGAGAAGCAGACTTCTGCTTGGCAGCTCCACAATGCCAGTTACCGCACCCCTGTGATGTGGGTGTGTCTTTATCTTCACGCTCCATAGAAAAAACAGGAAGCCCAAAGAAGCTAAGGAAGGTACCCAGGACCACACAGAGCAAGTGGTTCAGGTGCAACTGAAAGCAGCCTGGCTCCATGGGCCAAA